AAGTCTGGCCATTCTCATTTCTAAGGGGCATTCTTGCTCGACTTCCTCCACGGCAGATGTGTTTGCTCTTCTGATAGTACGTGGTGCATTCAATATTATTTGCCAGCACAGTTCTAATGCATCAACTCTCCTTATTCATTATCTAGCTTTCCTACACATATGTTGTTGCTGTTGTTATGTGCTGTCGAGTCAAACCCGACTCACAGCGACCCCTCCTTGGGTTTCCGAGGCAGTTATCACTACGGAAGTAGGATTGCCCAACCTTCCTTCCGAGGAGTGGCTGGTGGGTTTGAACCGCCAGCCGTCTGGTTAGCAGGCAAGTGTCTTAGCCACTATGCTACCAGAGCTCCCTCCTACACATATGGGGCAACTGAAAATATAGCTTGGGTCAGGTGCACCTTTGTGTTCAATGTGACATCTTTCCTTTTCACAACTTTAAAGAGGTTTTTTGCAGTAGATTGGTCCAATACATCATTCAATTTCTTGGTTGCTGCTTTCATGGGCATTAATTATGGACCCAAGTGAAATGAAATCCTTGACAACTGGCTCCTGGAGATGAAGATGGCACAGTGTTGGGCAATGTTTGGCCCACTGTGCGTGGGCTCACCATGAGCCGGCGACCAACTCTATAGCAGTGAACAGCTTCATAGTTGAGCTGTGCATGGTAGAGAATCACAATGGGACCATGGGGGTTTTCTGGGGGTGAGCATAGACTCCAACCCAGAAATGGTGCTGGATGCAAGGCCCAGAGCACTTGGGTGTCCCTGCCCTCCTCAGCAATGGGGTAAATGCTTTTGTGGTGTGTGTGGGGGGAGAACAGCTGTGGAGTGTTAGGGGGGAGCATGTTGAGGGGAGGCTGCATTACCACGGACAATGGGTCATAAGGACTCTGACACCCCAAGGAAAGGGGTGGGCCATGCATGAGCCCCCTTCTAATGCTTGGGGAACCACTTTATCCTGAATTTGTGTGAGAGGCAGGGCTGTACTTCCCCGTATAGAAGCCAAACAAAACAGAACAAAAGAATGACCCCAAACCATGGTGCCTTGGAATTAACCAACTCATGGTGATCCCGTGTGTCAGAGAACCATGCTCTCGGGGTTTTCAGAAGCAGAGGGCCACCACGCCTTTCTTAGGTGCCTCGGGGGACTCAAACCTCCCACCTTTCAGTTAGCAGCCAGCATTCACTGCACCAGCCACAAACCAAAAGGATAAAAAACTTGGTGTTTTCCTGGCAGCCAGAGGGGCCTAAGCTCTAACCTGGCCACCCAGGCGCCTGAATGCTTGGCCCCCTGGGAGGCTGACTCTCCTGCCTGTCACCTTGCCCTCCACATCCGTTCTGTGACCACCTCAATCATGTGCGGTGACTCCATCTCTGCTGAGCCTGCATCTGCCACCTGCAGCTGATAATGCCCTCGTGGACCACAGCAGGGTGGCCCTGTGCACCCTCCCTCATCAATCACCCACTTCACAAGCTCTTCTGCTTCTTTCTGCCTGTGATGGGAGACTGCGGCTCAAGGAGGGAACGCGACTCAGCAAGCTCACCTGGTTGCAGGTGGCAGAGCAGGACCAACTCAGGTATGCTGATGACCCTGCAACCAAGGTGAGTACGGTGATGGGACATAGGTGAGTCTCCCTCGTTGAAGGCTGTGGGATGGGATGGGGAGGCATCTGGGCCTTCTGCCCTGCACCAGCAAGTGGGCACAGAGCACCCTGGGTGTGGGTCTGCCCCTCATGGAGGTCCTGGAGGGAGGGGGCAGCAGTCAGGACTTGGAGGACCCCAACATTCAGAGCAGGGAGCGAGGGGCACCTGAGGCCTGGGAGGAGGAAGGTGGGCTGCTGCTGGGCACATGGCTGCAGCCAAGCCCACGTCCCACTCTGAGGGCCCCTCCCTGGTTATTGGGTCAGTTCTGAGGCATCCCTCCCCACCCTGTGTGGAGAAAGCCTGCATGAGGTTCATCAGTCTATCTGAAGATGCCCTTACTCAGCTTGGGGTCCTGCCACATTAGAGGCCTTTAAAGCAGGGAAGGGAAGGGGCAAATGAAACACAAGAGCTGACAGGGGAGCACAGGTGGTGGACAGATCCTGTTCCCAGGGGCAACGGTGGGAAGACCCTCAGCCGAGACCCCCACAGCTCCACGGGAAAGGTGACCTTCCTGGGGAAGCTTTGGGACATCTCCTCATGTTTGGGTGCCTGTTGAATAGCATGTGGCTGTTGGCACACGTCCAAGACGAGCCTGGAACAGATGTGACCGGTGACCCAAACAAACTACATGTGACGACAGAAACTGCAGGAGCGCAGGCTCCCTGTATTTGTCCTTTCGTTAATTCATGGTTTTTCAGGTGCTTGAGAAGATTGCGTATCAGATAGTTTGGAAAGGAGATGGACAACAGTGAACTTCCGAGAGCCATGAAAATATTTCAGGCATGTCAAATTAGTAACTGGAACCAAGCATCCGCTGGTCCCTTGGGAGTTACCATCAACATCTGCTACACGGTAAAACAGAAGAGTTGTTGTCATTGTTGTTGGGTGCCGCTGCGCTGGCTCTGACTCACAGCAGCCCTACGTACAACAGAAGCGAACACTGCCCAGTCCTGCACCAGCCTCACAATCATTGCTGTGCTTCAGCCCATTGTCTCATTCCACCTCATGGAGGGTCTCCCTCCTCTGCACTGGCCCTCTACTTTACCAGCATGATACCCTTTCCCAGGGAATGGTCCCTTCTGATAATGTGACCAAAGTATGTGAGATGAAGTCTCACCATCCTCACTCCTAAGTGCATTCTGGCTGCACTTCCTCCAGGACAGCTGTGTTCCTTCTCGTAGCCCATGCTATGTCAGTGTTTTCCACACCCTGATTCAAAGGCTTTGATCTTTCTTGGGTCTTCCTTACTCATTCATTGTACGACCACATGGTGGATTATGACTCAGCTGTAACAAGGCATAGAACACTGACACAAGTTGTAGCATGGGTGAATCTTAAAACCATGCTCAGAGAGATACCAGTCACAATGGGGCACACACTCCATAATTCTCTTTATATAAAGTATCCAGGACAGGGCAATGCAGACAGTGGCTGAGTGTCCCCTCAGGGCTGGATAGTTGGGGGTGACAGCCAAGGTGTTCTTTGTGACGTGAACCGTTCTCATGTTGATTGTGGTGCTGCTGACCCACTATGTCCACTAGAAACCGCTGCATTGGTCACTTGAAGAGACAAGCTGTGCATGTGAATCATGTATCACAATCAAGCCGTTACCGAAACAAGCACCCCAAACACAGGAGATTGGTGCACTGAGCTTCAAGCCAAATCAAAGAACAGGTTCTGAGTTTTAAATGCATGACTAATGTCTTCAGGCCCTAGTGGTGCAATGGTTAAGCACCCACCTGCTAATTGAAAGGATGCTGCTTCAAACTCACCAGTACCTCCGTAGATAGAAAGACCTGGTGCCTCGTTCCTATAAAGAGCACAGCCTCTATCCAAGTTGCTCTGTAAACTTTCACCCGAATCTCACACATGCATGTGCGTGTGCGTGCGCACGCGCGCACACACACACACACACACGTATATATATACTACAGCCAGAGAAGCCCTAGAGGTAGGTTCTGCCTGGTCACACAGTGTTGATTTGAGTCAACCCAATGGCAGCCAACGTTTAAAGCAAAGTCGTACCCCCGGGGCGTTTTATGTGCAAGAGCCGAATCCCGGGACACACAGGACCAGGCAGCGTCTGGTTCCACTGTGTGTTGAGGTCACTGTGGGCTGGGGCCAACTCTACGGCAGCCAACAGCAGGAGCCCCTGAAGGCAGCGGAAAGCTCTCATCACAGGCCCAGACACCAGATCCAGTGGGACAGAGTCTGCCGGAGGGAGCCGCAGGGTGGGGTAGGAGCTGGGCATATAGGGCAATCCAGGGGTCTGTGAGGACAGCAGTGGGATTGGGGCTGAGGACAGAGGGGCAGGTGGCTGGGCTGCAGTTTTCATGGACAACTTCCAGGAAGGGCCGTGGACCTCAGGACCCAGTGGAAGTCCGAACCTAGCCTCCACCCTAGACTTCCCATGAACTCCCCACAGGAAGCAGCATCTCCGTCTGCCTAGCTCCCGGGTGGAGGTCCAAGGTTGCTAGGTATACTTTCCTGTCCCACCCTCCTTCCTGTCGCCCCCATTCTCCAGAGCTCTGAGGGTGGGAGCCCCGCTCAGGTCTGTCTAGATGGACACACATGCCCCATGACCTGCCCCCTGACCACCCTTTGCACCTTGCCTGGGTTGGTCCAGTGGTGTGACCCTGCAGGAATGGAGGGAAGGAAGGGGCGGGGTTCCAGCAGGTTCCCTGGCCCTTGTGTTCCCTCAATCAGGCCTGGTCCCACATCCTACCTCCTGGCTCTATGCCACACAGGATGGGGCTGGGTGGCCTGATAGCACCCGTCTGTCAATCTGCAGAGAACGCCGGGTGGGTTCATGGAACCACCTGACTCCAGGCCGGGGCCTGGATGGGCAGAGCTCTAACCAGCTGTCCCAAGGAAGGGAAGGGCCCTACCTGGAACACCAGACGTGCCTAGCACAAAAAGAACACCTTTATTGATTCATGGATCCAGACACCTGTCCATCTCCTCTTTTGGCTTCATTCCCTGCGGCCTGGGGACTCCTGACTAAGACCCTCACAGAGGAACCAGACAAGGGGCTCTGGCCTGCCAACTGCAAGATCCATCAGGAAAGGGCTGTAATGGGGCTGTTGGGCCCCGGGTCACCCCCTGGACCCAACACTGAGGCCAATAAGTATGTACGTGGGAGGCGTGGGGGTGACAAGCGGTCCCCAAAGCCCCAGGGAGCCAGGGTTGTCCTGGTGAGCCTCCCAGGTGAGGGCAGCATGCCGACCTGTGTCCGACCTGTGCCCCAGCATTATCAGTTAAGGCACTTGTGGCTTGTTGTGTCCTGCCGAAGGAAGGCTTGAGTCTCTGGGGGACCCTCTCCACACCCCTGGGGACCCCCGTCTCAGCAGAGCACAGCTACTTCTTCCTCCGGGGGGTCCGTGCCCCGCCACTGCAGCTGTCGGGGGCTGAGGCGGCCAGTTCGCCAGCAGCTCCTGGCTCCTTCCTGGGGGCTGTTCTCTGCTTCTCCTCCCTGCTAGGTGGTGGGGGGTAAGAGGCCAGCAGGGCCTGCACCACCCTGATGGTGCCCACGGCCACAAGGAGCCCCCAGAGCAGGGTGGGGGCCTCCAGGGGAGAGAGCTGGGTCCGCACCCAGTGCAGGACCCGGGGCAGGGAGCTGCTGGCTCTGTGGGGTCGCGGTGGGCTCCTGTCCTGTGGGGAAGGCACAGTGAGGATGCGGCAAGGTGGAGAGTCACCCCTGAGCCTCCCCAGCCAGCTGACCCCTCCTACCTGAAGCCCAAACTGTGTGAGCAGTGTCTCCAGCGTGAGGTCCCCCAAGGTCACGGTGGGAAAGAACTGCTCCACCCACTGGCGGCGCCACCATTGGCTGTGGTGGGACGGTGGTCAGTGTGAGCTGGCAGCCCCAGCCCAGCTCCCACCAGCGTCTGCCCCGTACCCCCACTCACCCCTGCTCTCCAGGCTGCGAGAACCAGTACTTGTAGCGCTGGGCCCGGATGTAGGTGGGCGGCTGCTTGTGGAAGGGGTACCTTGTGAGGTCGCCCTGTAGCAGGCGGATCACTGCGGGACACAACAGAGAGCAGGGCTCAGCTCCCCTTGCCACCTCGGAGCCCTGCTCCCGACTGGCCATCTTCCTGTCTATTCCGCTTCCCATTCCTGCCCCACCCCACATGTGAGACACCCCTACCTAGCCCTGCCCACTCTCCATCCAGCCCTGCCCCCACCTGCCCTCCCCTCCACCCCAGCCCCATCCCCTCATCCATCCTTCTCTCCCCTGCCATCTGCCCTCTTCCCCTCCGCCTCACCTGGCTCCTGGCCCTGCAGCAGTCGGAGAACCAGGCCAGTGAACCAGGGGCTCTGTGTGTGTTGCCCCAGTGCTGCAAACCACATCTGCCAGTCGAGGCGTGGCTGGTGGGGCACTACAACAGGCGGTGGCCGGCTCACATTCCCGGGCTTATACATGAACTCAATCTCCTGCCACAAACAAGGGGCTGAGGTCAGAGACTGGCTGGGCCCGTGCCTATCTGGCCACCCACCGTGGAGCCCACAGGAGGGGCTCACCGTCCAGTGGTGCCCATCATAGCTGCCTTCCAGCACCACCTCGGGCCGCCCACCCAGACCGGTCATCCGGCGGAAGAGGCCATAGGAGTTGGCCAGCTGCAGGTGCTCCACGGCGCCAAAGAGGCGATGGGCCCCGGTCCAGAGGCGCCCGTGGGTGTCTGGCTCCATGTAGGAGTAGGGTACCTGGAGGCAGGTGCGCAGGGGCTCAGTACAGCCCAGAGCACCACAGTGCAGCCCAGCTGCCCCCCACCTTCCACCCCCAGCGACCCACCAGGCTGATAGTGAATAAGGCCACCGTGGCTGCGCCAAAGACGGACAGCTGGACCGCAGACCAGAGCCTCCACAGCCACCCGCGCACTTGTGTCCACCTGGGGGAACCGAAGGGAGTCAGTCCTGTGGGCATACTGCTGTCATCTCCACTCTCACCCATGGCCCTTGTACCTCCAGAGAGCAGCCAGCAGCTCCCAGGCCAGGGAGGCCCCTCCCAGCCACATGGTGGGCAGGGTCACTGCCTTCAGCCACTGGGAGAACTGGTGGAAGGTGAAGTCTGCGGGAAGGGGGACAGGTGTGAAGACAGGTGTAGCCTGAACAGCCCGCTCTCCCGCCCCGGCCAGTGCTCACTGGTTCTGGAGCGGACAGCACGCTGTTCCCAGTCCACCTCCAGGCTGAAGTAGAAGGCGGTGCCGTAAGCCAGAAGCCCATAGACGGCCAGCTCCAGCAGCAGGGCCAGTGCAGGCAGGAGGGCCTTGGGCCAGGCTGTGGGGAGGGCAGTCACAGTTACCGCGAATGGGGTGGGGGCTGGCAGCTGGGGGCTGTGGTGGAGCTAGAGCAGGGCCCTGGGGGTAAGGGGCGGGCACTCACAGGCAGGCATCTTCTTGCTGCGGTCACGACCCCGCTCAACACCCAGGTGCTTGTCGTCTAGCAGGGAGGTGCAAAGTACCAGGGTGAGCAGGTTGAAGAAGTTGTAGTTGCCCGTGATAATGATCAGGACTTGTAGCAGGACCTGGGAAGTGGATCTGTGATCAGAGCTTCCAAGGGCCACCCTTGGAGACTTCTGGAGTCTGCTGGGTCATCACACATTCCCTGACCACCTCTGTCTCGGTCTTCACGGTAGACGGGATGTCCTGTTGCGGCTTGGGAGCTCACTCTTCCTCACTCTCTGCAGGTCATTTCTGCCTCATCTACTCTCTGTCATTGCTTGCCCCTTCGACAGATCCCATGACCTGAGCACACGACGTGTGGCCTTTCCTCCCTTTCCCCACTCCCGCCAACCTGGAGGCCAGCATACGGCCATGTGGCTGCAGCCCCTCCACCGTAGGCCGACACATGTATACTCCCTGTCTTTGCAATTGCTGCTGCCCCCCTGCTCGGGGATGCTGAGGAAGCCCCAGCCCTACCTGGATCCCCAGTACCAAGCTCCACCCACCTGGGAGTAGAAGGCTGCCAAACGCAGGCGGTGGATCGGGGAGAAGAATAGAGGGGGCACCGCGATCTCGATGAGGAAGGTGGCGGCCACACTGAGCCTGTGCAGCCAGGCAGGCAGGTGGTGAGCAAACCAGGCAGCGGGCGTGGGCAGGCACTGCGTCTCGTAGTGGTAGGTGAGGGCTGCAGGGTGGGGGGGCAGGCGGTCAGGGCTGGCTAGAGCTCCCAGACTGCCCCAGATCCAGGCCAGTAGCCTCACCGGTGAGCCCCCACCACGCGGGGCAGCGGCTGGTCAACTTGACCACACCCGAGGCGAACATGAGTCGGAACAGCAGCCAGCGTACCAGCCAGAAAGGGAGGTCTTCGTGGGGCAGGGCTCCCGGCGGCCCACCCTGGGGGGCCTGCTTGTGGAGGCGCGGCTGCCTCAGTGGGGCCACTAGCACAGCCAGGAAGCCAGTCTCCAGCAGCAAAGAATCCCTATGGGAGAGGGAAGAGTACAAAGGGCCCCCCTCACCATGGCCGGGGCCCTCAGAGGAGCCACCTGCAGGGCGAGACACTCCCACCCAGCTCTCCTGCAGCCTGAGGCAGAGCCACTTACCACTGGAAATAGAGGAACACCTGGCCCACCTGCAGGGAGAGGGGCTGTCAGGGGGCAAAGGGGTGTGCCTGGGCCCAGGGCAGGGCAGAGATGTGGGGAGGGATACAGAGGCTGGCCCCACTTGCCTGGCAGGCCGACAGGTAGGCAGCCCAGAGCAGCAGGTAGGTGAGGCGGTGGCGCAGCGGGCGCAGCACCAGTGCGCCCAGGGCCAGCAGTGTGCCCAGCAGGCTGAGCAGCTCCAGGCCCTGTGCAGTGTCCAGCCCCAGCCTCGGGGCCTCCCACAGCAGCGTCGGTGTCTCCCACAGCTGCTGCCAGCGACCCTTGCCCTGCGGACGCAACATCCTCCGAGCAGGCAGGATGCCCTGGGCACCATATAGGCCTGTGGGAGGGCAGGCTCGTCAGGGCCGGGACACTGCCCTGGAAGGCTAAACCCCCCAGGTGAGGGCCTCCAGACGCCCCCACGCAGGGACTGCAGATTCCACCCTTCCTTGGGGCCCCAGAGCCCCTAGCTCTGACTCCCTGGGTCTGAATGTCCCATCCATCAAAGCCCTCCCTCCTGCCTGCGTAGCACGTCTAGGCGGAACTTTCTCCCACCCCGTCAGGTTCGGCCTCCCGGCCCAAGTCAGGACCCAGAACCCAGTGGTAAATGCACCATGGCTCACACGTCTACATTCACCATCCCCGTGGCCCGCAAGACACGAACCGCCGCCCCCTACCCCATGCACCGAGATCGGGACCTCACTCCCGTCCCTCGTTCCCCAGACAGCGGAGCATCGGGCAGGGCGAGAAGCAGACATAGGGCCCCGAGCGCGGATCGCGGGGTGTCCTGCCCTCGGCACCCTCACCTGGGATCTGCATGTAGAGGGAAGCAAAGGCGAACATGAAAACGGCGGCCACGCCCTGGAGGAAGAGCTGCCGCGCAAACCTGGAGCCCGCCATGTCCGCTACGCAGCCCGCTGGAGAACAGCCCGCCGGCCCGCCAGGCCCCGCCCCGATCCGCCAGGCCCCACCCCGATCTTCCAGGCCCCGCCCCTATTCGCCAAGCCCCGCCCCTAGACGTCAGTGCCGCTCTGCCCCGCCCCAGCACGCCGGCGGCAACTGCTGGCCGGGACCTTCTGCGGGCTCCGCCCCGCCCCGACGCCTGCCCCGCCTCCCGTGCGCGCCGCAGCTCTTCCGGTGCGCTCGCGTCTGACGCCTCCAGGCTTCGCTCCTTGCTGGGCTTCGTCTGTGTGTACGTCATCGCTGTGCGCGCGCCGACGCGCTACGTATTTTCCTGGGCGGGAACAGCAAAATGGCGCCAGAACTAATGGCGGGCTGAGGACACTGGAACTCCTGGGAAGCCGGGCCTGCGGTCCCGGCCCGCCCCCGCCGTGCGCCGGGCCCCTCCTGGACATGGAGGACGTGGAGGCGCGCTTTGCCCATCTCCTGCAGCCCATCCGCGACCTCACCAAGAACTGGGAGGTGGACGTGGCAGCCCAGCTGGGCGAGTATCTGGAGGAGGTAAGGCCGGCGGGGGAGCGGCGCGAGGCGAGCGCCGCCGCCTCCTCGTCCCGGGCCACTTCAGCGCTCTGGGTCGCCGTCCTCACGTTCCTTCCCATTTCCTTCTCCCGGCGCCATCACTGCATCCTGAAACCGTCTGCTTGTGAAATTGGCCTGGAGTGTTCGTTGCAGGTCGCTGCCCATCAAGGAGCCGTGAACACCGACTTAGTGGGTTGTGAGCGGCGTTTTTCTCCGACGAACTAGAGCAGGCTAGGAAGCACTGGAGTCGTTTCTTATCACTGTGCATCCATTTGTGCTTGTGTGTGTGAGAGAAGGAGAGGTCTCGGTCCATCTGGGTCGCTGCTTGCAGGGACTTGTAGTGTATTTTCAAGCCACCTAGCAGCCACTGCCACGATGCTTCGGTCAGCACCAGTCGTTCTTCGTGTCTGACAACCGCCTCCATTCAGGAGCTGCCGGCTCCACTGTGCCCTCCTGTCACTGCCAGTTGGGCTTCCTCTGCCCTCAACTGGTCGTTTCTCCTTCAGCGGTGACCTCCACTGTCTCAAACCCAGGGGCACTACAGGTGTCTTGCTGGATCAGCAGCCGAGGTGGGGGTGACCACTCCCCCATTTGGGACAGCGTCATCCCTTGGGGTCCTTGGCAGGACCTTCTGGTTTTCTGCGGTGTCATTGGCTGCTTTTCTGTTCTGTTGACTATGAGTGTTGAGTTCCTCGGGGCAGGAGCCTAGCCTCGGAGAGTCTTGTTTACATGCGTGGTAAACATCCATAACATCCAGTAACATCTGGAAGGTCAAAACTCCCAGGTTTGTATCTGCACCCAGATCTGTCTTCTAAATCTACTTTTGTGTTTCCAACGGGTTGCACGATGTTCCACTGAGGTGTCACATAGCCATTTAAAACACAACACTTTCTAGTCCTGCTCACACGTCAGTCGTTGATTTCAGTTCCAGCAGCTGTTAAAGGAGAAAGGTGAGAGGTGCTGTGGTGACGCCCCCCACCCGTTCATCCGTGGGTGAACCGCCAGAGTCTCTTGCCTTCACCTCCTCTCCATTGTCAACTGCTCCAGGCCACGAGCATCTCTGAATCAATGTGAAAGCCTCCCAGCTGATCCCTGCCTCTGCTTCTGGCCCCTGCAATTCACGTTCCATCCAGCTGCGAATGGGGCTTTTAAAGAATTTAAATTGGCCACACCACTTTGCTGCTTAAAGCCCATCCGGGGCTTCCTACTGCCCTTGAAATAAAACCCAAGCTCCTCCCTTGGGTGCCGGGCCCTTCTGGGTCTGGCCCTGCCACCTTTTTAGCCCCATGTCAGGCCATCCTCTGCCTTGTTCTTTTGTACCATTTGGCCTGACACCCCCAGCTTGTTCCTGCCTGAGAGTCTTCATACTTTGTGCTCGCTGACGCCCATGTTCTATGCCAGGCCTCCACTGCAGCACCAGCTGACCCGTCTGATCACATCCTGTCTGCCAGAGCAGCCTAGGCATTTTAGAGCACTTCCTCTGATCTGCTGTCTAACTCTGGTTCTTTAGCTCTGTACCTGTCCTGGGCCTGAGTTCTGTGAGGGCAGGGGCCATGTCCGTGCTGTCTTCTCTCTGCCCTGTTGCATGCCTGGCACACAGTAGGATTGGAATACACGTTTGTTGAGTGAACACTGATCCAGTGATTGACCTGCTCTATCCATCATTCAGTCAGCTAAGGAGTACGGAGGACTGAGTCCGGTAGAGCTACTGTGGACTCAGGTTTCTGGGTGAGCAGGTTCGTGCTGACACCTGGTACATCCTCCTCCTGCCTCGGGTTTCAGGGCTTCCAACCCTGTCCCTGAAGCCCTGATCACCTACCTCTAGTTTGGTCATTTTCCACCTCTTCCCTTCCACGTAGCTGTCAGTATTCATTGTGACATAGCACACTGCTCTCCTGTGTCGTTCCTTTAGTTCGTCAGGGTTGTTGAGTGTCTGCCTTTGTTAAACTCTGACGAAGCAGCAGAACACAGACCAGTGACACCTCCTGCTCTCACAAGCTCCTCCGCGTGGGGCAGCTGGGCCTACAGATGTGACCATGCGGCTCACAGCCAACATCACGTGTTCAGTGCTTGCTTGTGCTCTGGGTGTATAAACTCATTTAATCCTCATGAGACCCCTCTCAGTGTAGGTGGTTCTGCCCCTTCTGATGGATGAGGAGAAGGTGGCCTGACTAGGTCTGTGTGGCTGTGTGCCCGGGAGGATAGACAGGTGTGTGCTGCGTGGCACTGTTTAGGATTTTGGGTTTTCTGTTAGGGTTCCGAGGGAGCGATGGGGTCCACCTTAGGACAAGTGCTGGCTGGAGGGTAGAGCGTAGGTGAGGGAAGTAGGGCAGAGGAGCCCTGTTGGGTGTGGTGGTCCAGGCCAGAGGGGGAGCTGGCTGAGTGAGGTCAGGGTGTCACCTGGAGGGACCAGGTGCCAACAGGAGGTGAGGAGGGAAGGGTTTCTGGGCAGGTGGTTTGAGTGGGAGTTTACTTAGACATCAGTGTGACTTGCTCAGTGTGGTTTCCATTAAGACATCCATGTGGACCTCTGAAGGGGACTAGACATGTGGGTTTGGCTCAGAAGGGAGGTCCAAACTGGAGCTGTGTGTGGGAGTCGTTAGAAGCTAGGCAGGTGGCATAGGTGTCCCTTCACGTTCCCTGCCTGGGGCCCGATGCTGTGCTCCCCACAGTGGTGCTTCTCTGTCCTTATCCACACTGACTGACACACTCCTTTTCTCTTTCTTTGGGGTGCTGTGTTTGAATTGTAGTGGTCTTCTTTCTCAGCTGACTCTGCGTGGTGGCCACTCTTCCTGCCAGGCCATCACGCTCATCTGCCTGGCAAGTCTGTCTGTTTTGCGGGCTGAGCTCTGATATTAGCACTTCACTTGTTCATCACATGTGACTGAACATCAGTGTCAGGCTCCCGACCTGAGGCTGGCATCCCTTTAAAGCAGTTACTGGCCCAGTGAGGGGATGACAAGTGTCAATGGCTCAGGTGCCTGACACTACCCTGATGGAGTGGGAGTAGCCCAGGGGGCCCCCAGAGCCAGATCTGCATCAGCTGGAGTATGTGAGGGGCTTGTAGAAATGTTCACATAGGAGTGGAGCCTGTGGCACTGGTGTCTGGGGGATGGCTGTGGGAGGCTGTCCCACAGCAAAGTGAGGGCCAAAAGGCTTGAGAAATACCAAGGGGCCTTCAAAGTGTCACTCAGTGGGAAGAGCACAGTGGAGGGCTGATTTTGGAGAAAGTGATCAGGCCTGGAGACAGAGGGTCAGGGAGCCATTTGGGGCAGAGAGAGAGAGACAGAAAGAGAGAGAGAGAGAGAGAGTGAGTGTGTGTGTGTGTGTGTGTGGCAGGGGGATGGACCTAGAGGTGCGGTCTGGGAATCGCCAGCACAAGGCTGGCCACCTGGCACTTGGGGCATGGCATGGATGAATCCACAGGTGAGCAGCTGGGAGGACAGGAGGGCCAAGGCTGGCCCTGGATGCTGAAGTCCCAGGGGTGGGCAGAGGAGTGAGGCCTTGCAGAAGGCCAGAGTGGTCAAGGGGGAAGGAAGAGAACTTACCTGAAGTGTCTCCTGGGTTCTCTGCTCACCAGTTTTGTCTCTGCCTCCCCCTGGCCAGGTTTCCCTTCTCCCAGGGAGGGGGTCTGTATGCAGGAGACTGTTGGGGTGGAACTCAGGGTGCTTTGTTGATCACTCTCCTGGACCTAAGGATTGTGGGTGACTCTGGGAGCCTCCCTTCAAAAATGCTAGGTTCCAGAGATTACAGGAGATCACCAAGAAATCCCCATCCCCCAAAAAAGGTGAACCCACAGTGGAGTCAGAGTTGTCAGCTCAGGGGAGAGGTGGGCTGCTCTGGGCAACTGGCAGCACCTGAACCTACCGAATGGGCTACCGAAGGGGTGAGGGGGCTGTTAGGGAAGGAAGGGGAGCTGTGAGGGGGAAGAGGGGGTTGCCAAGGGGCAAGGGGAAGAGGCCAGGAAGGGGAGGGGCTGCCCGGGGGAGGGGGAGCAGAGCTGGGGGGGAGCCCGCCTGAGACCACAGCAAGCTGGGCCCCGCCCACCTGTCATGGTATCTTGCAGCTGGACCAGATCTGCATTTCTTTTGATGAAGGCAAGACCACCATGAACTTCATCGAGGCGGCATTGCTGATCCAGGGCTCTGCCTGTGTCTACAGTAAGAAGGTGGGCCCGTGCTGGGGTGTACGGCTGGCCCCCAGCACTTCAGCCTGAACTGCCAGGGCCTTGTAGCACCAGAGAGCAAGCCTAGGTTGCCGGTGTTTGTGTGGTTCTGCTGGAGGTGGCCTCTGTGGGTTTTGGCTGTCACCCTGCAGTCCTGTCCTTGGTGTCTCCAAGGCCCCTGCCCCCCTCCCCCAGCTCAGTGGGACCTGCAGTCCCAGGGCCGGCAGAGAATCAGGGTGCTGAGGCCTAGGGTGAGGGGAGAGGAGGACTAGCAGGAGTGCCTACAGACCGCAGGCTCCTGGTGGGAGGAGCAAGGAAGGTGGGGGTATGCCCACTGGAGGAACCATGACTGGACTGTTGTTATGTGCCGTCGAGTTGTACCCGACTCGTAGTGACCCCTCCTTGGGTTTCCGAGGCAGTATCACTACGGAAGTAGATTGCCCCGTCTTCCTTCTGAGGAGTGGCTGGTGGGTTTGAACCGCCAGCTTTCTGATTAGCAGTCAAGGACTAGCCTGTGCCTTTCGTTGGCCTCTTTGGCTGTGGTGCGGGGGTGGCGGGGAGGCTGGCAGCAGTCATCAAATGGAGACATGTTTAATTTGAGACACGGGACTTGTGCCCCGGGTTTTGGAGATGAGGCTGGTCCTGGTGCAGGAGACCCTGGAACTAGTGCTGGGCTGCTGGAGGGCCGCCCTTCTCTGTCCTCACGCACCCTCTGGTGGCAGGTGGAGTACCTCTACTCACTGGTCTACCAGGCCCTCGATTTCATCTCTGGCAAAAAGTGAGTACTGAGGGTGGTGCTGGAGGCGGAGCTGGGGAGGCCCCAAGCCTGCCCCAACACCCACACGATGACCCTCTCTCCCAGGAGGGCCAAGCAGCCCTGCTCGGTACAAGAGGATGGGACCACTGGGGATGCTGGCTCCAGGCCCCTGCGGGAGCCAGAGGATGAGGTGAGGCATCTTGTGGGTGGCCCTGCCTGGGTGGTGTGGCTCCGCCTCTGGCCGTGCCCACCAATTGGGTTTCCGTAGTTTGTGTCCCTGGACGAGCTGCCTGATGACCGGGCCTGTGTGGACCTGAAGAATGACCAGCCTTCCAGCGTGAGCAGGACTCTCCTAGGGCGTCTCGCTGCTGGTGGGGGGGTGCTGGGTGGTGTGCTTGCCCTGGGTGGCTCCCCAGAGCCTTGGGGACACATGGCTCACCCCACCCCTGGCCCTGTGCAGGAAGTGGTCATTGTGCCCCTGACGCCTCTGGCCCTGGTGGCCCCGGACGAGGTGGAGAAGAACAGGCACCCCCTGTACAGGTACAGGCTGGGTCGGGCGGCCGGGAGGGCGGCCTGGGAAGGTCCCTACAGCAGGTGTGTTTCTGCCAGTGCAGCTGTCACGGGGAGGTCCTGGCTAGCCGGAAGGATTTTAGGATGAACACGTGCACCCCCCACCCCAGTGGAGCCTTCATGCTGGAACCCATGGGCATGTGCCCCCGGGAGACGCTGCAGCAGACCCAGAAGGGTGAGGGACTCTAATGTCGGGTTCCCCCTGCCCACCTTCCCCGGGGAGGGCTTTGCTCCAGGCTGTCCCTCCCAGACTCCTGCTGCACTTTGGATGGGTTGTTGGGCCCTGTGCCTTGTCCTCCCTGAATATGCAGCCATGCGGCGGCTCCTGACTTGGTCTCTGTGGGAGAGGATGGGCTGACACTGTCCTACACCATCTCTGCAGACACGGGGAGGGCTGAGGAGCAGCCAATGGAGGTGTCTGTGTGTGGGAATCCTGCTCCTGTCCCCAGCTTTTCCCCGGAGCCAGGTGAGAGTGCCTCAGTGGGGCGGGCCAGCATGATGAATCAGGGCCTGTACCCACTGCTCCTGCCCCCTACAACTGAAAGAAGAACAAACGCTGACCAAGAAACAGCCCAGTGCGGGAGGGGTGTGAGGAGCAGAGCCCATAAAACAGCCATGGGCTCTGGGGCTGAGCGTGGTCCCTCCTGGTGTCGGGTACTGGCCCTCTGCCCTGCCCTGCCCTGCCCTGCCCTGCCCTAAGAGCACCCCAACTCTCCCTAGGAGCAGCTCCCTCTCCACAGCTGGGTCTTCTGGCTCCTTGGGGCCAATGGTTGGTTTTTTAACTGTCATTAAGGTGAAGATGTACAGAGCAAATTCACTTTCCATACAGCAGTTCACATACACATTGTCTCAATGCATTGACTACAATTCACCACAATGCAACGGCTCCCCTCCCACTTCCTCCCGATAGTTCTTTTCCTTGTGTCCATCCCTCCATGCACTCCTGCCCCCTGAGCTGTCTCCCTGTGCATACACAGGCCTTCTTTCTCCCATGACTGTTCTAAGGAGTAGTCTATCTACTTCAGGTACATGTTCACCTCATATGCCTGTCTTTTGTTTGGCTGGACGCCACAGGTGTGGGTTTAATTCCAGACCTGAAGGGCAGCTAGGGGCCATAGTCTCAGTGGTTCCACCAGGCTCTTTCAGACCAGCAAACCTGGTCCCCTTTGGGGCCAATGGTTTTGTGCTCCTGTCCTGCACTCCAGAAGGCCCGGTGCCCGGAGGTGAGGAGGATGAGGAGGTGGATAATGCAGAGGTGGCAGCAGAGCTCCCTGAGGCCATGGTCCCCGAGGTCCCTCCGGAGCCAAGCCCACAACAGGTAGGTCCCCAGTGAGGCTTGAGAGCCCAAGTGAGTGTGCCCCTAGACAGGAGAGGTTGGGTGGAGCTGTCCTGAGGTCACACTTGGGGGAGGTGGGGGGGCATCACTGTGGCGGGTGCTCCCTGCTCCCTGGCTCCTCATCTGCAGGGCCTAGGGGACCCTACCCAGAAGCCCTGTCTCCTCCTTTGGCCCAGACATGCCCCGCAGCAGCCCTTACCCTCCTGGCATACGGTATCTGCTGCCCTTGGAGGGTGGAGGGCGTTCTCCGGTCGAAGCCTTGCTCCCCTGGGCTCGGGCTAGCCCAAAGGGGGCAGGCCTGTGCCTCCCCCACCCCCAGGGGCGAACGCTAGAGCCCCACCTGAGAGCCCTGTGCTTTGCTACCGACAACTGCAGCATAGAGAGCTGCAACGTGGACAGTTGCTGATTGGGGTTGGTAACTTCATTGTTTTTTTCTTATTATTCTAAAGTTCTCCGCTACTGCTGGTTTATAAGGAGACTTTGTAGTTTCTGAGGTTTCTTGTTTGGTGTTTGGCACTTTAGTCCTTGAACTGTTTGGCATTCCTGCCTCAGAACAGAGCTGCTGGGTGCTGGTAGGCCAGGGGCTCGGGGCCTGGGTGGAGGAGTGAGGGGCTTGTGGGTGTCTCTACAGAGTGCCGACCCTCCCCAGAGGTACATGCTACGCCAGCGTGAGGAGGCCCCTGTGCCCCTGTCCCAGCTGAAGGTGCGTGAGGACCCAACCTCCCCTTACTTGCCCGTCACCGTGCCCACCTGGATGGCCTCTCCCCGCCGTTGGCCAGTCTTTCAACCCCTCAGGTCCTTGGCACTTGTCTTCTGTCCTGGATCAGAGCCCCCTCTTGCACAGCTCTGGGTACCCTCCACCCCAGCGTCTCTCCCCTGGATTGGAGCCCTCTGTCATACAGCTCTGGGATACCCTCCACCCCAGGGTCTCTTCCCTGGATCAGAGCCCCCTCTTGCATGGCTCTGGGATACCCTCCACCCCAGCGTCTCTTCCCTGGATCAGAGCCCCCTCTTGCATGGCTCTGGGGTACCCTCCACCCCAGCCTCTCTCCCCTGGATTGGAGCCCCCTCTCACATGACTCTGGGGTGTCCACTACCCCAGCATCTCTTCCCTGGATCAGAGCCCTCTGTTGTATATCTCTGGGGTACCCTCCACCCCAATGTCTGATTATGCTGTTTTCTCAGATGGCCCTGGACCCCTGGCAGAGCCTGGACCCCTTTGACTCCCTGGATTCTAAGCCCTTCAAGAAAGGTAACAGGTGGGAGTGGCTGGTTTCACAGTGGGGCAAGCTCACATTCCAGCCACTGTCTTCCCTTGCTTGGAGTGAGGAGTGTGTGATCTTAGGTCACCTCCTAGGGTTGCTAAGGCCTGCAGTTGGGCTTCGGGACAGAATCCCTGTCCACCCCCAGGTAGGCCCTTCTCTGTGCCCCCCTGTGTGGAGGAGGCTCCAGGACAGAAGCGCAAAAGGAAGCGTGCCACCAAGCTGCAGGACTTCCACCAGTGGTACCTGGCCGCTTGTAAGTGATGCTGGGGGCCGGGAGGCTGAGGGGCTATCACCGAGGGGAGGGAGGTAGTGGGATCTCGGCTGGGGTCCTGCTGACAACACTCTCCCAGATGCTGACCACACTGACAGCAGGAGACCACGGCGGAAGGGCCCATCCTTTGCAGGTGAGGCTGGGGACCACTGGGTGGGCAGTCTGGGGGGGTGACGGCTGTCCCATCTGCTTCCTGTCTGGCTGGGGGGCCAGGGTAGGCCTGGAGGACACCCCCTCTGCCCAGGCCTCTGTCTGCAGACATGGAAGTCCTATACTGGAGGCACGTGAGGGAGCAGCTGGAGACCCTGCGGAAGCTACAGAGGAGGGAGGTGTGTGCTAAGCCCCCACAGCCCATGTCCAGTGGGCCCTGGGCAGGAGGTGGTGGTGCCCTTCACAGACACCCCTCTGGACAGGTGGCCGAGCAGTGGCTGCCAAGGGCTGAGGAGGAGCTGTGGTCCGAGGAGGAGCAGCTGGAAGACTCCTTGGAGCACCTGGGGCCTGCAGGTGGGGCTTGCCTGGCCATGGGGTGGGGCTTGGGGGCCTGGGCTGGGCTGCCTGCTTACAGTTCTCCTATCTGCCAGATGACTTCCTGGAACCTGAAGACTATTTGGAGCCTGAGGGGACAAGGCCTGGGGATGCTGATGACCTAGGTAGGTCTGGGAGCAGGCAGCTGGTCTGGTGGGTGATGAGGGGCTCTGGTGCTCATCCCAGCTCACAGCCGCCCCCTCTCCCAGACGCAGAGGCCAGGCCGCGGCCCTTGAGCTACGAGGAGCTGGTTCAGAGAAACGTGGTAGGCTTGGGTTGGGGCTGGTGGGGGTAGGTGTCCACAGCCTCACGCAGAACGCCACAGCTTGTCTGTTCCCCCAGGAACTCTTCATAGCCACCTCCCAGAAGTTTGTCAAAGAGACAGAACTAAGCCAGCGCATCCGAGACTGGGAGGATACTATCCAGCCCCTGCTCCAGGAGCAGGTGAGTGGGGACCAGGGGCAGCGGGGAGCCTGTCCCCCCAGGCAGTTTCCAGTGGAGGCCTGCAGCCTCCTGCCCGGCCACCTGGGGGCACCCTGCCTGCCAACAGCCCAGCGAGGCCACTTTCCCTGGTGCAGGAGCAGCACGTGCCCTTTGACATCCACACTTATGGGGACCAGGTGGTCTCCCGCTTCAGCCAGCTCAACGAGTGGTGTCCCTTTGCTAAGCTGGTGGCCGGCCAGCCCGCCTTCGAGGTGTGTCGCTCCATGCTGGCCTCCCTGCAGCTGGTGAGTGGCCTGCGGGTGGGGGTGGGGGTGAGGCTGGGGGTGGTGTCTCAGCATCCTGGCTGATGACTTCTCCCCTCAGGCCAACGACTATACCGTGGAGATCACACAGCAACCAGGGCTAGAGGCGGCTGTGGACACCATGTCTCTGAGGCTGCTTACGCACCAGCGAGCCCACAAGCGCTTCCAGACCTACACAGCCCCCTCCATGGCCCAGCCCTGACCAGGCTCAGATGGGGCAGGTGGGGCTGCCAGGCCTTTGCCCCACACGTGCTGGGACACGGCACATCTGCTTCTTGGCTGGTCCAGCCTAATAAAGTGGCACTGCCAACCCACCTACCCACCAACCAACTTTAAAACTGTTACGTGCAGAGGCAAGGGCTCCCCAGCCCGGCACCCCTACAGATGACCAGGTTGGGGCCCTTCCTGCCCCGGCTCTGCCAGCTGCTGTGCTGCAGAACATACACACACTCAGCACCACACCCGCTCAGCTCTCTGGCTCCTGTTTAATGATACCTGGGCACCACAGCTCAGTCCAGCACACTGCGGAAAGCAGCCATGTGGCGCTGCACACTCTCCACGATCTGCGCGGCCGACCTGCCCCGGCTGTAGTAGTCTGTGAAGAGGCCATCTGGATTGAGCAAGTAGATGGTGGTGGAGTGGTCCACGATGTAGTCCTGGTCCTCGTCCTTGGGGCCAGCACTGTAGTACACACGGTAGCTACGACTGACTTGGGCCACCTGCTCAGTGGAGCCGGTCAGACCCAGCAGCCGTGGGTGGAAGTCCTGCACATAGCGGGCCATGGCCGCCACGTTGTCCCTCTCAGGGTCCACGGTGACAAAGACAGGTTGCACGGGGGGCAGGTTGGGCTGGGCCTCCAGCTGCTGTACCACGTGCACCAGCTTCTCCAGCTCATCAGGGCAGATGTCAGGGCAGTGGGTGAAGCCAAAGTACATCAAGACCCACTGGCCTCGGAAGTCAGCTTTGCAGCGGGTTTGGCCCTGGTGGTCCAGCAGGCTGAAGTCGCCCTGGCCCACGGCTGCCTGGCGCAGGGCCTCTGTCCGTCGTTCCTGTTGCCTCCGCTCCTTCTCTGCCCGAGCAGCCAGCCAGGCAGCGCTGAGCCCTGCCCCAAACAGGGCTGTGACCAGCAGCCTCGTGCGAAACCCAGGGCCCTGGGGCCAGCCTTGTCTTCCAGTTCCTGTAGGACCCTGTCCTGACAAAAGGCGGGGCCTCAGATAGAGGGCCTGGGCTCCAGGGGCCAACAGCTTGAGCTGGGAGAGCCCCTGCCAAGCCTTGGGCACCTTAGCCGGCTGCAGCATGGACCTAACACACCTGTGAAAGACCAAAGGTGTCAGGAGCCAGAAGGAAGGGGACCTCCTGGGCCATACACCCTCAAGCTTAGTCCCTAAGACTGCCCCGGAGCTTGCCTGCTGAAACCTCTGCATCTGAGCAGCTCTAACCTCAGGGCTTCACCCAGCCTCCTTGTACTCGGTCCCTGCCCCATGTCCCTGATGCTTTCCTGTGCGGGTCTTGCCTTACCCCCCTGCTCCTGAAACTCAACTTCCTAGGGCTCTCGGCGCACTCATCTATCTGTAATAAACCCATTTATTTGAAAGAAGCGGATGAGTCTCTGGCTTGCAACCTTCAGAGACTAACCACGCCCTGTGCCCTTGGTGCTGCCTGGCAGCACCCCCGCCCCACCTGCTCGAGTACAGGTGTGCCCAGCGTGCACGGTCCAGTCCCTCCAGGGACGCGTCCTGGCAGACACGTGACGAGGTTTCCTGCACTGGCAACAAAACCCACCCTCTTCCCATCCAGGTTTCCGAAAGCACGAGTGTCTGTGCCCGGCGCCCTTCCTGCGGCATCCTCTCCCTTCCACAGCAGCCTGCTGTCCTGCGGGCGTCTCGCCGCTGCCGGCTCGCCGTGCCCAGAACCAAGCTTTCGGCCTCACCAGGCCGGAGACCCGCCCGTGGGCACCTCACTGGTAAAGCGGACTCGGGGTCACACGAAGCAAGAGCTGGGCTTCGGGACGCAGGGCTCCGACACGGCCCAGGCTCCACCCCTGCAGCCCTCCCCTCGGGTCCTGTCTCAAGGCTGGCGCCGGACGACCGGCCAGGGCAGGGGACTGGGGCGCACTCACCGACGCGCACAGGCCCGCACTCCCGCCTCTTCTCCGGCACCCGCGCGCAGACCTTCCGGCAGGAAGGGGTTGTCGGCAGCAGGTCGTGGCCGGGTATCAGAAGACACGGTGGCTGGAAGATAGCTCCGCGCCGTCTCCTCGCCAACCCAGGAGTTTTCCACGCTCCTCGGCGGGGGTCGCGGGACTCGGCAGTCGCCACGTTCGACGCCAAAGCGCATGCGTGTAAGGCGGCGCGCACGCGCAGCAGCCTGTAGGCGTTGCGATTGCCCAGACGCACCATTGCGCATGCGTAAAATGTCGCGCGCTGCCTGAAGCCGCACGCCGCCGTAGGTCACGTGCCTGGTAAGCCTGTCGCCCCACGTAGAGCACCCGGCGACGACTCTGACTAGGTCCTCACCAGGCTTTAATTGCCGCAGCTCCCCAGGCGCGCGCGCACGCGGAACGCGCTACGTGGCGGCTAACTGCACGCACGCCCCCTGCAGGCCGCAGGCGGCTGAGCGCCGGTCCATCCGGTTGCCAGCGGGTCCCTGCGGGCGGGCGAAGGTTGCCAGCGGGAGGACAAGAGGTTGGGGGGGAGCTCCCCGCGGCGCAGTGTCTGGCTCACGCCCCCCAGCAGCTGGGCGCCCGCGTGGGCCTGGAGGGGCTTCTCCTCACGGTTTCGTCCGGCCCCGAGTTCGCGTGGTACGACCGCCAGCGGCGGTCCCCTGCTGAGCTCCACCATGCTGGGGGAGAGGGCGCTGGCCCGACCGGGACGAGGCGACGGAGCCGGGCTTGGAGAGGGGAGAGGGGCGGGGAGGGTTGGCGTCCCCGGGGCTTCCCTGGCCAGGATGGGCTCTGGGAGGGATGGACGGGGTCCCCGGGCCGCTCTCGCGCTCACCATCGGCACCCGTGCCCAGCTCTTCTTGCAGCAGCTGCTGGCGCCACGCGGGGTCCCGGAGCACAGGGCTTGGTCTCCTCTTGAAGAGGCTTGGGCCGAGCCTTCACTCAGTACTGCGGCCCCTGGGGCGGAGCCCTCGACCTGGGCTTGCACGCGTCGGCTGAGCCAGAAGGTGGCAGTGCGGGGTGGGGGTTGGGGGGCTTTGGCCCATGCGGCTCAAACCTTAGGCCTTGTGGCTCACCGAGCCAGGTGACCAGGTTCCACAGGTCTGGGGTCCTCCGTGCTGTCCAAGCAAACCAGCTTATCCTCTACCTCCGCAGCGTGGCCCATGCTGCGGCCCAAGGGGGTGTCGGTGGAGCTCAGGGCTTCTGCGACCTGAAGCCCTCTGCCCGCCCCCGCCTTTACCTGCACAGACTAGGGTTGTTGTTGGTGGTGTTATGTGCCGTCGAGTCGGACCCGAATCATAGCGACCCCTCCTTGGGTTGCTAAGGCAGTATCACTACGGAAGTAGATTGCCCAACCTTCCTTCTGGGGAGTGGCTGGCAGGTTTGAACCGCCAGCCTTCTGGTTAGCAGTTAAGTGCCTTAGGCACTCCCAACTAGGAGCTCTAGGGTTAGAGTGGATTCTACGTGGCAGGGGTCCCCAACCTCTGGACAGTGTATGCTCCAGCAGCAGGCTGCCCCTTCTGGCCCTTCAGAAGCTGAGGGGCTGGGGAAGGCTGAAGGGGAGATACCTCAAGCTGTGTGCTGACCTGGCTGGGGTCCTGGTGGAGGTGGCTGGAGAAAGTCATAGAGGATACAGGGGGGTAAGGCCTGGGTCAGGCATGTCTACAAGTGCACAGGGGCACAAGGAGCCAGAGGAAATGGTGGAGGGGGGTGACCAGGCTCCACGGCACAGGCATGAACTGTATGGTGGGCCTACTCCACAGAGTCCAGAAGACACATGAGAACCCCACAGAATGATCACAAATATGGGGCCCCACTACACACACAGGACCCCCCCCCAAGGTGAAGCCACACCACAGGCTCCTAGGCACAGGTGCTCACCAGCACTATTACCAGCTCCCAGGCCTGGGCCTCACTGGGGAAGACCACATCTTCCACCAGAACCATCAGTCTGTCCACAGCCTTCTTACTGAGAATGGAGGCTCCCTTCTGGGAGGGGGTCATTGCCCCCCAGATGTGGGGGTGCTGACCCTGTGGTCCAGTCAGTCATGAGAGGGGCCCTGGGCATTGGGGGTCCCCACCTGCTTGGGGTGCACTCAAGGTCATCCTCCATGAGAGGAGAGGGTCAGACATCTTGTGATCCCTGGTGGGGTGGGGGTTGAAGCACATTTGGAGGTCAGAGGTCAGGGCAGTGGTGATGTGCAGGCAACTAACCCCAGGGGTTGAGTATAGGTCACCTGGTTTGGGGAGGCAGGCTCAAGTCACGTTACCTGTGATGAAGAGGCCCTGACTGGAGGTTAGAGGTCAGATCTGTAATGTGCAGGAGGCTGACCCCAGGGTCTGAGGTCAGTTCACCTGTGACAAGGGGCAATTTGTCTACAGTGACAGTTCTGTTCCTAGGTGTGTAAAGGATCCTATCTGCAGGAGCCAGCTCTTCATTCTGGTCCACAGTACAGTAGATCACTTGCTCCAGGAACTGTCACATATGGTCAGGCACCTCCCACATCAGGGCTCCTGGTGACCCCAGTGACCTCTGATGAATGATTCCATCTCTGACCCTGATCAACCATCCATCAGCAGCCTTGCCATATGTCCAAAAACCATGACTAGTGACCATCAGGGACCCATGGATGATTATGACCAGTCCTCATCAATGACTCTGTTTTCTGACCCATCTGCAGTCCTGATCAGAGTCCCATGGCCATGATGATTGATCACTGGCCCCTCAAGGATTCTGAACAATTCTGCACTGATGCCTTGACCAAAGCCCAATGACCAGCAATGGCCCGTGAATAACTTGGGTGACGATCCTCATCAGTGGCCCTTCAGTCATTCCAAGGAAGGTCTCCATCCTTAGCCCCAATCAGTGACTGTCTGTGTCCCCACCCCTGTTCTGGGCTCTGGGTGAGTGAATCCAGTAGTCCCTGTGTGTCCCAGAGTGTGTCCATTGATCGTTGGCACCTGGTGGGCAGGGCTGCTGAGCACACCCACACAGTGCCCCACCTGTAGCATGTCCTACACGGTCCTCACTCCCCTGGTTAGGAATCCCACTGGAGTCAGGAAGCAATGAATGATTAAGCACTTGTGGTGGGTAGCCAGGGGATGGCAGATAGTCATGGCTGGGGGGGAGGGGTCAGTGAGGCAGGAGGTGGGTACCTGTCCTTGGGAACCCAAGTTGGCGACTGAGGACAGTCCTGCCCTTGTGAAGTGCCATCCTGTCCCAGGTAAGGAGGGCAAGGAGGGGGGGACTTGGTCCTGTCCTATGGGGTCTAATGGGCATGGACTGGGCAAGGAAGCCAGGTTCTGCCCTGGGTACTAGAGGCAGGGAGAAGCCTTGTCCTGCCCTTGGGGGCTCTGGCTGGCTGCCTGGGGTAAGAGGCTTTGGTCTGGGGAGGTGGTGGCTTCTAACCTTGCAGTCAAAGGTGTCCAGGGCAGGCGCTAGGACCGCGCTGACCTTGTCACACACGCCCCCTGTGGAAAGTTCGTTCATGAGCTGCCTGACCAGGCCTATGGCCACCCCAGCCACTGCAGGGACTTGGCCAGGGCTCAGGTCAGCGCTGCGGACCTTCAGGTCCCTGCTGTGCTCGGAGAACCATGCATGGTTTCCGGGTGTAGGGTAAGGGGTGGGCAGTAGGAGCAGGAGGCCTCGGGTTCTTACAAAGCTCAGGTGATCCTGGGGTCAGTGACCGTGGTGGGGTGCTGTGGAATTCCCAGGGCGGGCAGTCTCTGCCGATCTCAGATCAGGAGTCATGGGCAAGGTCAGGTCAGGTTTCCTCGCCCTCCCCACGCACGGATCTGCACGCGTTGCACGCTCGCGTCCACTACAGCGCGCGCGCCCCTTGGCTCAGGCGGGGTCCCCAGCAAGGCTCTCGTCTTCCGGCGGCAAAGCCCGCCCAGGACGCCGACGGCGCGGGCGCGCACAGAGAGGCGGACACGCGTCTGCGCGGGACGCTTTAAGGGAACGTTTGTGGGGTTGTTGCGGACCGGCGGGTCAGTCATCCACGTGGGTCACCAGCGGAGCTAGGTAGTCCGAATGCCGGATCCCGAAGCTCCAGCCCTGGGGCTTCCGGTGCTGCGGGCGGGAGAGGCCGGTGAACGAGAGGACCGGCTTCTCGTGCCCCGCACCTAAGACCCTAGGCCCCGGCCCGAAGCCTCAGCTCCCGGCCCTGTCCTTCGACCCTGGAGTCTAGGCCACCTTGTCCACGTTGTAGGCCGCGGGCCCGGGCTTCAGGCTGTTGTCTTCGGGGAGTGAGGTCCGCGCCAGCATCGTGAACTGGGGGGCTCGGGTCTTGTAGACCCCGGGGCTCACCACATGGTAGGCGCAGGGGCCCGGGCTCTGCGGGAAGGCAAGAGCGCAAGCGGTCCAGCTTCGGTTCCGCACTGACCACTAAGCCTGCCCATGGCCTCCGGCCCCTGTGGTGGGCCCTCGCCCACCTTGCTGAGGTCCTCGAAGAAGGCGCCCACCGCGCTCCGGCCGTGGATGGAGTAAGTCGGGGCAGAGGCTTTGTAGATGGCGCGGGAACCCAAGAGCGAGGGCACCGTGTAGGTCCCGGGGCCTGGGGCGGAGCGACCAGACGTGGCTGCCTGGGACCAGGCCCCAGGCCCCGGCTCTCCCATCCGGTCCGAGGGCGGGCCCACTGAGGGTGCAGCACTGCCGGGTAGGGTGAAGCGGGGCACCCCACGCGGCTGGGAGCGTCCTTTCCGGCCTCACCTGGGGTCTGCTGCTCCGCTTGGACGCCCCAGTTTCGGGCCGCGATGGTGTGCCGAGGCGCGCTGGGGTACGCCACGTTCGCTGCTCGCTCCGGGAAGTACCTGCCTGCAGGGCGGACCAAGGGTGTGGGCCAGAACCGCGTGGAAGGCCTGGTAGGGACCGGGGCTGGGGTCCTGGGACTAGGGAGACTCGGACTCCCGATTCCTCAAAGCCCTGTGGGAGTCGGGGTTCTGGGTTTGTAGACTGTGGATATGGGGGTTCCGAATCTGGGGTGTTCGGGTCCCCGAGGCGGGCTCGGGGTTCAGGTGGGGTTCCCAGGGGATCTGACCGGGTCCGGGAGTGAGGAAGAGCGCAGCGTCGCGCGGGCGGCCGGAGATGGAGTACGAGGGGGAGCCGTCGGGGCCGCGCACGGTCATGCGGGCTGGTACCAGGTGGCCGGGCCCTGGGCTGCACACCTGCAGCTGCGTGGGGAGGCGCGCGCCGAAGGTATAGGCCGGGGCGCGGGGCCGGGACGGGTCGTGGAGGATGTAGCCTGCGGGAGCGTCCCGGCGTCACCCCCTCCGGGCACAGACCCTGCCCCGGTCCCGGGACTCAGCCTCTCCGCCCATCCCGGGGCTGCGTCCCGGCTCCGCCTTCCTGAGAGTGCCACAGGTGTAGACCCGGTCCCGGGCACAGGCGCTTCCCCGGCCCGCTATCTCCGAGCCGCGGGCTACATGGACCTCTCCCGGGTCCCGGGACACAGCCTCTCCGCCCATCCCGGGGCTTTGTCCCGGCTCCAACTTCCGGTCCCCGGCACAGGCGCTCCCCCGGGCCGCAGCCTCGGAGCCCCGGGCTGCATGGACCTCTCCCCGGCCCCACACAGATACCCCGGTGTCCCCACGCCCGGGTACCGGTGTTAGGCGGCAGCTTGTACTTGGGCCCCGGCCCTCTGGACTGCGCTGCGATGGGGCCGCGGGGTCGGTGTGGCCGCCAAGAGCCGACCCAGACGTCCGAGCCCATAGCGCGATTGGCGCGTGCGGCCGGCGGCACCTGTGGACACAGGGGTGGCAGCCCCGGCTCTTCACCCCGAATTTACGGGAAATTCACCGCCCCCCAGTCCCTTCTCACTCAGCTGGACTCCGGAGGCGGGGCCCACCCGGTATCCCAGGCGCCACGAAAACAAACAGCAGCTTTCCCGGTGTCGGGAGGGGGGGGGCGTGGGGCGGGGACAGAGCTGCAAGGCCACCTCCAGTCCTCTGCCCCCAAAAGAGATCAGTAGGGGGAGTGCGGCCCCCGATTTCGGGAAGGGAATTCCCCTGGCCTCTCTCCCGAGGGCAGGCAGACCTTGGGCGGTGGGCTTGGCTACCCTGGGGAGGGGCCTGCGTGGGGGACCTGGAGCCTCCGAGGAAAAGGCCTGATGTCGCAGTGGAGGTCCTCACCTGTTCTAATGCTTCCCCTGCCCGGGAAAGCGAGGTGGCGACTCTAAGCTGGTTTTCTGCCCCCGCCCAGCCCAACTCCCAGACCCCATTGTGTCCCCGTCCGCTTCCTGGCAACGGGACTGACCTCTCTGCGCCCCAGCCTGCCTCCGCCCCTACTCCCTGCACCATCCCTCTCCTTGGGTTCCATGGCATTGCCGGGACCACAGGCTGGACCACAGACCAGAACGTTTGCCTGGCCCTTCTGCAGGTTTCAGTTCATCCATTCCAGAATTGAACAGAGCTCTGGTGGTGCACTGGGTAAAGCATTGGTTTAACTGGTTAAACCAGCTGCTTGGGGAGAAAGATGAGGCAGTGTGCTTTTGTAGAAACTTACCACCTTGGAAACCGGATAGGGCAGCTCTGCTCAGTCCTAGAGGGTCTCTGTGAGTCAGAATCACATCAGTCGCATCAGGTTTGGTCTTGGACAGAAGTAAATCCGAGAACAAAGACCTGAATAACCCAACAGGCAGGCTAAATTCAGTAGGTAGAAGGCCGATTTTGTATCTGTTCAAGCCCATGGAGTAGTTGCAAAATTCCTCTGCCACAAGTTGTACTAGTTGACTAGAAAGACAGTGATTTAGTCACATGTATTTGGAAAGTAACAAGTTCTCCATTTACAAATAAGTAAATAAAATCTGGATCAAAAAGAAACTAAAATCTCAAGTTTCAGACAATCTATGCAATGCTACAAAGTGGCTACCTTCCTACCCACCTCTACAGGATGCACCTAAAACTGTGTTCAGAGGAAAATGTACACCCTCAAATGACTTTATTATTCAATGAAGAAAAACTGAAAATAAAGGAACACAGTATTTATGTTATAAACATTAGAAAACAGAGTAATGGAATGAACTAAAAGAACAAAGCAGGAACTAACACAAATAGAAAAGATAAATAGTAACTCTTCAAAAGAAGACAAATAAGTGGAAAAGGGATCTAGTGAGTTTCATCAAGGGGAAAAAGCAAAAATATATACAATTAAGCAGGAGAAAATGACATTCTAATGTAGACAAGGAGCTCTGGTAGCATAGTGGCTAAAGCACTTGACTGCTAACCAGAAGGCTGGCGGTTCAAACCCACCAGCCTCTCCTCGGAAGGAAGGTTGGGCAATCCTACTTCTGTAGTGATACTGCCTCGGAAACCCAAGGAGGGGTCGCTATGAGTCGGGGCCGACTCGACAGCACATAACAACAACAACAACAATGTAGACAAGAGTAAGTTAGGTTTTCATTGCTTGACTCTGACAACAAATCTGAAAATCTGGGAGAAATGAGTGATTTCCCCGCAAAACATAAAGTGCAAAATTAACCTAAGAAGTAGAGCAGTTCAGTAGACAATTTTCTATATGTATGAGTTAGGAATTACATTTGGCAGTGTAAAATAAAACCCAATAAAATCCCAACCAATGGCTTAAATACGTAGGAGTGCGTCCCGCAGCTCAGGTAATAGAAGTATAGCCGGGGCTGGCATCTAGCTCCTTGAGGTTGTCAGGACCACTGTCTCCATTCAGCCCTTCTGGGACCTCACGATCTCATCATGTTGCAGGATGAGTGCTCCGCCTCCCACCTCTGTCACATCTTCCAGAAAAGTACAACAGCAGTTAAGGGCAGAAAACATGCCAGCTCAGTATGCTCCTGTTAAGAGATTTCTCTGAAACACTGCCTGATAACGTACCTCTCATTGGCCACACCATGTTTTATGGTCTCTGTTCAAAGCTAAGACATATTTTTAGTGTGGATCATTGCTTACCCACAACTGGGTAAGCAGGAAGAAGACAGGAGAGGGCACTGGGTTGGCAGCTAGCAGTTCTTCCCATACCATGGAAGTGATTAAAAAGGGGATTCAGTTTACATTGAAAATGTCATCAGGCCAGCTTTATAGGGGCTTTCTAGGTCCTTTTTAAAGAGCATAATTTCACACCATAGTTGTCTCAGCACCATCTGTTGAAAAGCCTATTCTTTCCCAGTTAGATGAGCTTGGGGCCCTTGTTGAAAATCAGTTGGCCATAGATATGCGGGTTCACTCCCGGACTGTCAGTTCTAGTCCATTGATCTACATGTCTGTCCTTACGGCAGTACCACGCTCTTGATTTCCATTGCTTTGCAGTATAATTTTTGAAATTAGAACGTGTGAGTCCTCCTTTTTCACTCTCTCTCTCTTTTTTTTTTTTCAGATTGTTTTGGGTATTGTGGGTCCCTTTCAATTCCGTATGACTTTTGGAATCAGCCTGTCAGCTTCTACACAAGTCAGCTGGAATTCTGGCAGCGTTACATTGAATCTGCAGAACGATTTGGGGAGTATTGACATGCTACAATGTCAGGTCTCCTGATCCACCAACTGGGATGGTTTGTTTAGCTTTTCTTTCATTTCCTTTAACAATGTTTTGTAGTTTCCAAAGTAAACGTTATACAATTCTTTTGTTGAATTTTTCCTAAGTATTTTATTTTTTGATGCTGTTTTGAATGGAATTGTTTTCTTAATTCCATTTCAGACTCTTCATTGCAAATTTACAGAAATTTTTGTATGTTGATCTTGTATCTTGAAACCTTGATGAACTCATTTATTCTAATAGTTTTTTTAGTGGATTCCTTAGGATTATGTACATACGAGATCATGTCATCTGTGAATAGAGATAGTTTTACTTCTTCCTTTCTAATTTAGATGCCTTTTACTTCATTTTCTTGCTCAATTGCCCTAGCTAGATCCTCCAGTACAATATTGAATAGAAGAGATAAGAGCGGACATCTTTGTCTTAATCTTGATTGTGGGGAAAACGTTAGTTTTTCCCCATTACGTATGATGTTAGCTGTGAGTTTTTTGTAGATGCCCTTTATGAGGTTGAGAAAATTCTCTTTTATTCCTAGTTTGTTGAGTGTCTTGGTGCTCTAGTGCTGCTATAACAGAAATACCACAAGTGGATGGCTTCAACAAACAAATTTATTTTCTCACGGGTTAGGAGGCTAGAAATCTGAATTCAGGGGACCTGCTCCAGGGGAAGGCTCTCTCTCTATTGGCTCTGGAGGAAGGTCCTTATCTCCTTTCAACATCTGTTGGCCCAGAGTTCCTTGGAGATCTACATGTGTCTTGGCATCAATCTTGGCCTAGGAGGTTCTCAGCACAGAGACCCTGAGTCCAGCTCTTGTTTCTTGGTGCTAGTCAGGTCTCTCTCTCTCAGCTTCTCCCTCCTTTTATCTCTTGTATTGTAAGACAAGGGGATGCAGCCCATACCCCAGGGAAACTTACTTTATATCGGGTTAGGGCTGTGACCTGGGCAAGAAAGAGTGTTGCATCCCACCCTAAGCCCCTTACAGCTGATTGGCTGGTCACATCAGATCACATCATGGGGGATGATTACATTATCACATAACTATCAAACCACTGAGAATCTTGGTCTAATCAAGTTGGCACATATTTTTTTGGGAGAAACAATTCAATCCATGGTATTGAGTATTTTTTATCTTAAAAGGGTGTTGGATTTTTTCAAATTCTTTTTCTTCATTTAAGGAGCTCTGGTAGTGTAGTGCCTAAGGCATTTGACTGCTAACCAGAAGGTTGGCGGTTCAAACCCACGAGCCACTCCATGGAAGGAAGACTGGGCAATCTACTTCCATAAAGATTTACTGCTTCAGAAACCCAAAGCGGGCTGCTTTGAGTTGGAGTTGACTCGATGACAGTGAGGTTCTTTTTTTTTTTTGAGATGATAATGTGATTTTTAAAATTCTGTTGAAATGATGGACCACATAATTAATTCTTAGATGTTGTACCGGCTGTGACTCCGGGATAAATTTCAGTTGGTCACGGTGTATACTCCCTTTGATGTGTTGCTGGGCTTGCTTTGTGTTTTAGCTACACAGTGCTGCTGTGACAGAAATACCCCAAGTGGTTGGCTTTAACAGAAATGTATTTTCTCACAGATTAAGAGGCTCACATGTGAATTCAGGGTGCCAGCTCCAGAGGAAGGCTTTCTCTGTTGGCTCTAGGCGAAGGTCATTTTCTCTTAAGCTCTGTTTCCTGGTTCCTTGGATATCTCCATATGATTTGGTATCTGTCTTTCTCCATCTATGCTGCTGCTTAATCTGCTGCTTTCATATTTTGTAAGATGTTGATTCAAGACACATCCTATACTAACCTTGCCTCATTAACATAACACAGACAACCCATCCCCAAGTAGGATTATAACCACAGGCATAGAGGTTAGGATTTACATCACATATTTTTTTGCGAGATACAATTCAATCTATAACACTTTGTTAGTATTTTGCTGAGGAGTTTTGCATCCTCATTCATAAGAGATATTGGTCTGTAGTTTTGTTTTCTTGTGATATCTTTGTCTGGTTTTGGTATTAGGGTAATCCTTGCCTCATAAAATGAATTAGGACATAGTCCCTCCTCTCTCTTTTAAGAGTAGGTATTATTGTTTGGTAGAATTCAGAGGTGAAGTCATTTGGTCCTGGGCTTTTCTTTGTGGTAGTTTTTGATTACTATTCCAACCTCTTTACATATTATAGGTCTGTTCACTTATCATGTGCAAAGAGGTTGAAATATAGGTCTTTTCACCTGTAATATGCAAAG